GAATAAACCCCATGTGTGGGACAGTCCGTCTCTAGAGAGGTCATCACCTTTTGGGGGCTATTTGAGTTGCAGATTCTCTCCTAAGGGAGTATAGGTATGGGGGAAGGATATGCCTCCAACTGAGAACACTCTGGGGGAGGGGTGTGGGGAAGGGTGAGCTCAGGGGCACTGCTGCTGTTCTGGTATCACTCAGAGTTTTAAAAAAAAAAATTTTTTTTTTGAGAGGTTTTCGCTATAGGGCACATGCACTCACCAGACAGACAGAGACAGAGAGACAGAAAGCAAGAAATCACCCCCAAGAGGGGATGGTCACGCTGCAATCCCTTCTCCTCCATTCTCCTCTCAGGATCTTGGGCATGCACGCACACGCACCCGGCGTGAGTTTTAAGCCACCGGGTCCGGGACACGAACCGCAGTCGACTACGTGGGAGTCCAGCAACATAGCCATTATGCTAACTGCTGGTTCCCAAAAATATTTTTAGAGGGACCAGCAGTTAGCGTAATGGCTATATCACTGGCCTCCCATGTAGTTGACTGCAGTTCAAGTCCCAGACCCGGCGTGTGCTCGCCAGAGAGACAGAGAGAGACAAAGAGACAGAAAGCGAGAAATCACCCCCCCTCAGGGGGGATGGCCATGATGCAATCCCTTCTTCATTCTCCTCTCTGGACTTTGGGCACACACACATGTACCCTGTGTGAGTCTTAAACTGCCAGGTCCAGGAATTGAATTGTGGTGGATTATGTGGGAGTCCAGTGACGTAACCATTAGACCATCTGCTGGTCCCTCATTCGGACTTTATTTTAGATAGGGTCTTGCTATGCTGTGATCCTCCTGCCTCAGCCTCCTGAGTAGCTGGGACTACATGCCCGCCACCATGCCCAGCATTCAGAGTGAGCCTGGAATTGAATCCAGACCTCCCATGTGTCCTCAGCCTAACAAGCAACAGTGTCAAATAGCATGTACTACCTCAGTCTGACCCATTTTAATCTTTTTACAATGAGGATATATTCAAACGTTACTTGCATAATTAAAAATAATTTGAGAGATGGGGCCAGCAGGTGGCATGGTGATTGAGGCACTGGACTCCCACATGGTCGACTAGGGTTCAAGTCCTGGACACAGCAGCTTGCTTTCTCACCATCCCTCTCTCTCTCTGTCTCTCTCTCTGTGTCTCCCTCTGCTTAATGTACATGCCCCATAGCAAACTGGAGTATAATAATAATAAATAAAATTAAATAAAAAAATAAAAAAACAAATATTAAATTAAATTAAATGATTCCTTAAAATAAATAAATAAATAAATAAATAATTTGAGAGGGCCAAGCCAGTGGTATGGTGGTTAAAGTAGCTGGATCCTTCACGATGGACCACATGTTCTAGTCCTAGACCCAGAAACTTGAAAAACACATTAGGCCAGTGTGTGTACATGCCCAAAATCCCCAAAGAGGGGAGAGATGGAGAAGGCACTGCAGTGTGACCATCAGCCACGGGGGGAGGGGGGTGCTTTCTCATTTTCTCTGTCTCTCTTCGCCAAGTGTATATACCCTCTGGCAAAATGAAAACAACAAACAAAAGAAAGAATAGAAATAATTTTTAAAAAGTATTAAGAAAGGGTGTCAGGTGGTGTGGTAATTGAGGCACTGGACTCCCACATGGTTGACCATGGTTCAAGTCCTGGACCTGGTGGCTTGCTTTCTCACTTTCTCTCTCTGTGTTGCTGTCTCTCTCTGGTCAAATTTTAAAAAATAATGATGATGATGAATAAAGTTAAAGAAAATAATTCTTAAACTTAAAAGAAATAAAAAATAATTTTAAAAAAAGCATTAACAAGGCTGGCCATATGGGTGAATGGTTAAGGGAAATGAGTCCCACATAGCTGACTGTATGGTTTAATCTTAGCTCCAGTAGCTTGAAAAATACACCATCCCAAGAGAATGGAGAGATGGAGAAGGGATTGCAGCTTGACCACATCCTACTGGGGGTACTTTCTCTGGTTAGCAAATGTATCCGCTGGCAACAAAAAAAAAAATAAAGAGCAAATCTAAACAGTTCCATAGCTTCCAGATGCATCAAACAAACCTGATTTGGTTTGCCAGGAAGCTCTTCCAGCAGGAAGAGAATATGTTAAGCACTCTAGTCCACTTGGGGTTATGTTTCTTAGTGAAAAGTAATAAACTGCACTGTGAAGCACCATCTCCAGTGAGTATGGTCCTTCTGACCACAATCTCTCTCCTCCATCTGCTCCTCCAAGCACGTCCCTCTGCCGCCAGCAGAATCTTTCAGAAATGCATTCTGATCTCACCAATGCCCTGCCAGAGGATAACAGCCCACTCATCCTGGTAGAGCATGCAGCTCTGTGTGCTCTGGTTGGCTCTTCCCACTCCCAACAGCCGAGCCTCCTGGCTTCCCACCCATCCTGCTACTCCTCCCACCAACTCTCCTTTCCCCTTCTCTGCTCCTTGAAGTCCTCCATATTCCTGGGAACCCAGCCTGGCATTAGCCACTGCCCCTGGTGGGTGTTCCCAGAGCCGGGCCACTGTGAAGGATGAGGTCCAGTCTGGGCTGAACATACCGTTAACTTCTCTGTGGTCTTTAATCCTGTATCCTCAGTGGCTAGCCCACAGCAGGAGTGCCATAAATACCTACTGCCAAAACTAAAGGAAATTCTGTCCTCAAGGCCCTGATATCACAAACTCAGAAAACAGAGTATCTGAGCTTGCAAAACAAACCGTGCAGGAACTCAGGCCGCTCGCCTTTCTCTGACCTCTCACTTCCTGTACCCTGAAACACCTGAGCACCGTGGTCAAGGCCTGAAGTGCCTCAACACATGAGTAAGCTGGGCTGCAAGGACCGGGTGGGGCAGGAGGCTTAGGCTTTGTCCCTTACCCTACTAGGGATGCCAACAAAGAGGAACTCCAACACTGATGACCTCATCAGAGATAATGCTAAATATCTGTTGATCCTAAAGATCTCCTTCAATCTGTTAATATGGTTCATCACATTAATTGATTTCCTGATGTTGACCTATTTTGCATTCCTGGGATAAATCCAACCTAGTCATGAAGAATTAGCCTTTCTTTTTTGAAGGTTGTTTTTTTAAAAGAATTATTTTATTTATTTAATTGTATTTGTTATTATTTAATTTGACCAGAGAAATACAAAAAAAAAGAAAGGGAAAGTGAGAAAGCAAGCCACCATGTCCAGGACCACAGTCGGCCAATGTGGGAGTCCAGAGCCTCAACCACCATGCCACCTGCTGCCCCCCTTTTTGAAGGTTTTTGCATGTGCTTGCCAGAGAGAGAAACAGAAAAAGACAGTGAGAAATCACCCTCCAGGGGCATAGCCATACTGCAATCCTTTCTCCTCCATTTCCTCCTGAGATTTTGGGCACACGTGCACACGTACTTTATGTGACTTTCAAGCTGCCGGGTCCAGGACTCAAACCATGGTCAGCCATGTGGAAGTCCTGGGCCTTAGCCACCATACCATCTGCTGGCCCAAGTATTATCCCTCCCCCCCTTTTCTTTGAGAAGTTTTTGCTATAGGGCGTGTGTGCTCACCAGAAAGATAGAAAGAGACAGAGAGACAGAAAGCAAGAAATCACCCCCAGTGGGGATGGCCACGCCACAATCCCTCTCCTCTCGGGATCTTGGGCACGCATGCACACGTGCCCAGCTTGAGTTTAAGTCACCGGGCCCAGGACTCGAACTGCAGTCGAATACATGGGAGTCCAGCTACATAGCCATTACACCAACTGCTGGTGCCCTCCCCTTTTAAGAATTATTTATTGGGCCAGCAAGTTGAGTGGTAGTTAAGGCACTGGAGTACCATATGGCTAACCGCGGTTCAAGTCCTGGACCTGGCAACTTGTTTTCTCACTTTCTCCCTCTCTCTTCTACTTTCTCTCTCTGGTAAGCACACTTGCCCCATAGCACTTAAAAATAATAATAGTAATAAATAAAATAATTATTTTTAAAATTATTAAGTAAATTTTTTTTTTTCTTTTAAATTTGACCAGAGGAAGACAGAGAAAGAGAAGCTGAGAGGGCGGGCTGCCCAGTATGGGACTTGAATTGTTGACAACCATGTAGGAGTTCAGGACCTTAACCACCATGCCACCTACCAGCCTCAAGAATTACCCTTTTTAATACACTGCTAGATTTGAGATGCTAATACTCTTTAGGGGGTTTTTGCATTTAAATTCAGGAGTGACACTGGCCTATAACTTTCTTGTATCAGATTTATATTCAGGTCACGCTAGCCTCTTTTCCAATACTCTGGAAGAATTTGTGAATTACTTATTCCCTTAGTGATCAGTAGAGCTCACCAGTGAAGCCAGCAAGGCCCGGAGGGGTTTTTTGAGGGATAATCTTTGATCACTATTTCAGAGTCTTTAATCATTATAAGCGATTTTTGTTTTCTTATTTTTTGGTGAGTTGTATTTTTTCCAGATGACTCCAAAATTCGCATTACACGAACTGATGTCTGATGGGATGACCCTGCAGTGAACTCTTCAAGAAATGAAGTGCTTTGTGAATCACCAGAGAACAGACAGTTCACACGTGTACAGAAGCTGCGTTTACACAGCACTACCCATGTTTTACCGCACCCAAGATCAAGGCCTGGGTGGCTCTGGTGACTTTTGGTGTCTAATTATTTGCTAAGGGCTGGGCAACTTCCTAGTTAAGCAGAACAGCTGTCAGATCAACACCCTACTGCTGGCCACACACGAAAATTTTAAGTAGAGGCCAATTCAAGATTCAATTCCTCACTTCACTCCTGGGAGTCACTGTCACTGACGTGAGGAAGCAGCCACCAAGAGCCTTGGGAATGAGCGTGGCCATGAGGGTGCTGGGAATGTTCTTAGCGCCTGCAAACGTCCCCAGGGCCAGGCTGGGTGGAAGTCGGGTTGTTTACCACGGCGGGAGGAGCCGCACCGCCTGCAGCTCGGCAGGCCACGCGCCCGGGACGCAGTGGGCAGCACCGGGACAGCACTCACCAGGGCCTCAAAGTCCTTAGAGTCGTGGCGGGCGTAGGACGCGGGGAAGGGCCGCCGCACCGAGTCGCGCTTGTAGCTCTGCAGGGCGGAGGCGAAGAGGCTGCACCGGAGGTCGGCGTTTTTTCCCCGCACCCGCCCTGCCGGCCGCCCAGCCTGGGGGCTGCATCCCGAGCGGTGCTGGGCGAGACGCGCGGGTCAGGGCGAGGGCCGAGCCTGCGGTCAGCGCGGGGTCTGGGCCGGGGACAATGGGCCGTCGGGGGCCGGGATGGACAGGCCTGGGGTGCAGCTAGGAAGAGGGACCGGATGACAGGGTGGGGACGTGGGGACGGTGTCCTCTGCAGGGTTCCGGGCCCGGGAGCTCGCTGCCGCGGCAGCCGGTCAGTGCAGAGCGCAGACTCGGTGAGGAGAGCGCGGGGTTAGACCCGGGGATAATGGGGCTCGGTCGAGGTTGGGGGTGTCCCAGGCCTAGGGGAGGGGCTATGACATGGGATGAGATGACAACAGCGGGAACGTGCCGATACGTGTCCTCGGCAGGGGCCTGGGGCGGGGACAGTGGCTGGGGCGC